GCCTGTTGATCTACCCAGTCGAACATGTTTAGTGTCAGCTCTGTGAGCCATTCTCTCCACCTCAGCTCCAGGGACACAGTAGGTCTTTGTCTCCATTAAGCAATTTGAATTTGTAACATGCTGCTCACAGACCCCATTTAAGTGCTTAGCCTCATGAAAGAGCGAGAGCTGTTTGTGCAACTAGCAAGAACCAGGAAGCCCTCCCCCTAAAGAAGCTGCACAGCCTTCACTGCCAATGATGAATCAGGAAGATCTCTCTTAAAGGAGCTGCAGTGCCCCAGCTCACCACCAGCAAACAGAGCCCGTCCAGAAAAAAATAATGCAGCCTCCAAGAAGTTGCACTAAACTGTTATTTTGTGTCTAGAATTTCTTACCAAGCTCTCTCAGGTTTTATGTGGATATAGTTGCCCATGTTGGGTGCCAATTTGTAGATGGAGACCGTTTGTTTGTTTCCCAGCTGCCAGACCTGAAATAATCACACAAAAACTGTATTAATTACAACACTGCTTGACCAATAGCTTAGGCATATTCCTGGATAACTCTTATATCTTAAATCAACCCATTTCTATAATTTTGTGTTTTGCCACAGGGCTCATGGTTTACCAGTAAGTTTCCCAGATGTCTGTCTCCTTTGGCAGCTACATCTCCCTGACTCTCCTCTTTCCTCCTCTATCTCTGCTTAGAAATCCTGCCTTGCTCTATTCTTCCCTGCCAGAGGCCCAGTGCAGCTTCTTTATTAACCAATAGTAACAAAGAATCTTCACAGCATACAGAGGGGAATTTCACATCAGATAGAGACAGCTGGCTGCCTAGACAATCACCCAAGTTTCCTCTGCAATGTTGGGACATCCATATTTGGCCTCTAAGCCTAGAATATCTGATAGACTATTCTATGAAGCAGGAATTTTACAGGACTGGCTGACCTTATCTTGACTTCCTTTGTGTCCTGCTTATCCAATACAGACAGCATACTGTTAGCAGTCGAAGCAAGGGCAGTTTATTTTTTAACCAAGAGTCTAACTTTGCCAAATTGAAAGCAAACTCTGTATGGAGGTTCCTCAATGCCTATCATCTTCTCTGAAGTAGATTGGTGCTTCCAGGAGCAGACTTGTTTCACTGTCATGAAATGGGTTATTTAAATATCTTAAATGCCATGTTCTGTAGATCTGTGAAATATTTGAATATCATCAATCTATCTAAATTATATCTCTGTTTAAACTTGAAATCATATCTAACATGACTACAAGTTTGATTGTTATAGATGACTAACCACTGGCCTGCATTTCTTACTTATCCTAAACAGTTTGTAATAATAAAAGGACTAGAACTTTGTATTACATTTTTAAATAAACTACATAGGTACAATAAGCAAGAGTAGAAACATATATACAGTATATTATAACAAAATAACCCTAAATTTGTATCAGTATACAAAACCCACACCAATGTACAATATTTGAGACTAGTAGTTGCTTTTTCTTTTAAAATTAGATTCAATAATCTACCATTTTATCCTGTCATTTCTATATCCCTCCTCCCTTTTCTCACTAGATAGGAAAGAAAGATGGAGGAAAGAAAAAGAAAGGAATCCTTTAATCTAACCTCCTTTGTTTAGTTTCCTTCCTGACCATGACCAAAAACACCTTGCAACTAGCCTCCCTAAACAATAACAAACATCCATAGCCCCCTGAATAACCAAAAACCATCCATCTCACCTCTTGGGAATGTGGGTGTCATGTTCTTAAAACTACTTTCTGTAATCTGGGAGTGATGGCATCTTTAGGGGGCCCTGAGAAAACTGGGGAAATGATCAAGTCCCAGAAGAGAGCTAGGTGAATCATTTATTGTCCGGTCTCTGTATGAAGGGAAAGTGTAGAGCTTATCTGAAGGTCTGGCTGGAGTAATTTGTGAGGCTGGGCCATCTTAGTAGCTGCTTTGAGGTTTTCCTGTGTGCAGATCTTTGAGGCAACTACAACAGAGGCATTCTGAGAGGCTGGATCACCCGGGCTACTTGTCTTGCATAAGTATGGAATATGCAGTTTGCACACATCAGCTAAAGATCATAGGATTGTTGACAACATTCTCTCCCCTGAGCTTTGTAGACACTCAATGTAAATCTCAAATGATTCTTTTAAGGAAATTGTCATCTTTGTTCGTCTTTCAATTTCACTTTTCTTCAGATTTTGTTTTCAAGGAGACAAACTTTGGTGCAAATCTCTGGTTCCCCTCTACTCACGCTCCCTCACCATGTGTACCCACCAGACTGTGTTTCAGGGGTGCCCTCTCCTCGGTTTGTGTCACTCAGGTGTTGGATCAGACCACACATACCTCTACCAACTGTCTGGACAGTGCCCCCTGACAGGATGTGGCTGCCTTGGGCTCAGACCAAGGGGGAACAAGGAACCAGCATTCTCCACTCCCAGCTCCTCCTGCGGTGGAAACGCGAGGCTGTGTAGGTGAAGCAGATTTTTCCAGAGTAGACTCAATACATGGACTTGCCAGGTGGGAGTGAGCTGGAGTGAGCTTGTATGTTAAAGTCAGGCCTGTTCAAAGGAGAATTAAAAACCCAGAGGCCTGAAGAGCCGCGTGGGTGGAAAGCTGGCTTTCGTCTGAGTGTAGGGTGGGCTCTGCTCCCCCAAACTGAGCTCCCAAGACCTCCCAGCCTGTGGGTATGCATCTTCATTTTCTTTTTTCCCAATGCACAGCTCCCAAAAACCAGGCGATAATTTTTAAAGGCTTCTAAGCAGAAATATATTTCTAAGTACAATGAAGACTGCTCAATTCTATGCTCATGGATAGTAATAAACATTCATTTCCTTCTGCTTCCAGACAATAGTAATAGGCTCATGGGAACACAAGGAAAAGGTGTTCTATAGGCCCTGAAGTTCCTTCACCCACGGACAACACAAAAGGCGAGACTGAAGCTCTGAAGTGGACACAGGCCTGACCTCGGGCCTGGAATACTTGGACTGCCCCTCCCCCCAGACCAGCCCAAGGAGGTGGAGGCTTGATGAAGGCTGATAATCTTATCTAAGCAAAGGCCACTTTCCCAGGCATCTAGGGAAACGGAGGTTCAAGTAAAACACTTTCTGGAACAGATTTGGACTATGATTTATGGACAAGCTGTGAACCACCCAGTATGTAACCAAAGCAGAAATGCTTCCAGGCTTTCCTTTCTCCACCTGTGCCTCTCCAGGAAGGGCGACTTTGCCCCCCAGATTAGAACACAGTTAGGTGTCAGAGCCAAGTAAAATTGGAAGGATGCTTGAGATACTTTGTGCTGCCCACTTTGCAACTTTGTAATAGTATATTCCACATAACTTTTTACTGAAGCTTTGTAATTGTTCTTCTTGTTTCTTTCATTTCCCCCTCTATTTGTTTCTATTACTATGAGAGAAATTGAAACAAACTTAGCAACTTAAAACACCCCTTTAGTGGTCGTCAGTTCTGGAAGCCGACAGTGCCGCTCAGTCATGCACAAACGGCTTCTTGGCTCGGGGTTTCTCAAAAGTGAATCTGTGTCCTTAGCCAGGCACAGTTCTCTCTGGAAACTTTGAGAGAAAGTCAATTTCAGCTCATTCTTGCAGTCTGCTTTCTCACTGGTTGTTGGCTAGGATTGCTCTTAGCACCTGTTCCAAGCCAGGTGCCCACCCCCTGTTCCTAGTGATGAACCCATGGCAGGGATATCCCCCAGGAAGTACCCAGCACATGTGAAGAGGTCACGTCACCAGGCTCACAGAGGATCCTCTCTATCTCAAGTGCCTTAAGCGCCTCTGCACAATTGCAGGCCAGCACCTAGATTAGTATCTGACAGGATAATTGGTGGGCGTGTGTACACCCAGGGGGACAGAAATCTTAGGGGTCATTTAGGTTCTGTGTAGAGCAGTATGCTTTTTTAGGGCAAAGCTGTGCCTCATGCATCTTTGGTAACCCAACAGATACTCCACAGTTACTGAACTAAACTGGTTTCAAGGAAGACAGGTGGAATCAGAAAATTGTTTTACACGGTCAAGTTCTAGGCAAGCTAAGGAAAAGATCCAGACAGCTGTGTTGTGCACGATGCCTTTGGGCTTCAATTGACTAAGGGGAGTCAAGAGAAAGAAAAATTCCTACCCCGGAAATGATCTAAGCAGATAACTGTGGAACAACACCTCTGAGCTTTCAGGAATAAGAGGTGCGTTAGCTGGACTTGGCTAGACGGCCAGTTTGCTTGGGCCATGGCCTACCACTCATGTTCACAGCCTCAGCTAGCAAGCCTCCTGGGTCAGTAGGCCCACTTTAAAAACAACCACGGATGGCCATTTATAGAATGGATGCTATTTCATGTGTCCTTTCAAGTGCTCTTCCTGCAGTCCAGTGTGTCTCTTGAGCACGCAGCATCCAGAACAATCAACAGGTGAAGTCAATGGTCAGGCCACATGCTTTCCAATGAGCTGGGGATCAGTGGTAGTTTGCTTGTATAGGAAAAGCACGACTCTGGGTTCAATCATTAGGAACTCAAAATGCAAAACAATGCCCCAACTCCCCAAAATCAACAATCAAAACAATCGTTGGCCATTCTAGGACACTCAACATAAATTCGGGCCGAATCATAGTAAAGGTATTTCTAAAAAGCACATCTTTGCGTGTTAAGAGTACACTTCCTCCCAAATCAGTCTAGAAAACACATTCAGGGTTCCTTGGAGGGCCGAATTTTGATTTCTGTAGATAGCAAAGCTGTTTTCCTAGGCTCTCGCAGCACCTCTACCATCCACCCTGGCAAGGGCCAATCTGTTTGTAGTTCTGGGAGCGACTCAGATGCTGGGGTAAAACTACTACACTGGCTCCACACCAAGGGTCCGGAGCCAGCTCCGCCCCACCCCGCCACCACCTGCGGAGATGGGCGACCCGCCCACATCCTGACGTCACCGAACTCCGGGCAGCGCCGGGTCGGGCTCCGGGGATTGGTCAAGGCTCGTGACGTCACGATCCCGGGGCGGCCCCGGGCTGGCGGGGCCCCCGGGTGCTTGGGTTCCTTTCAAGACGGGCGGCGGTGGGGGCGGGGCGGAGGCGGAGCGGGCGGTGTAAACAGACCCGGGAGCCGCGAGCCCCGGAGGAGGCGCGGGTGGCGCCGCCATGGACTTCCAGCAGCTGGCAGATGTCGCGGAGAAGTGGTGTTCCAGCACACCCTTCGAGCTCATTGCAGCCGAGGAGACCGAGCGCAGGATGGACTTCTATGCCGACCCGGGCGTATCCTTCTACGTGCTGTGTCCGGACAACGGCAGCGGCGACAGTTTTGTGAGTACTTGGAGAAGGCGATCTCCGCTGTGCCCGAGCTCCTCCAGGGAGGCTGGGTGGGGTGGAGTGGCAGCGCCAGGGCGCCCGGGGCCGCAGAGCCAAGGTGTGGCAACCTCCCCGACCACCCCGTGCTCGACGCGTGGATCAGAGCATCCCCAGGGAGTCCTTGTGTGATATCCGCCGGGCGGGGCGCACAGCCCCTGGGTCTAGATCCGAGGTCCGGTCCAGAGAGACGTTCTTACCCTTCGGGGTCTTAGACACAACTCTGCAGCCGCCCCTCCCCGACAAGGTCCCCGCCCCAAGCTGCAAATCCCTCGGAAAGACACAAAGCCTCTGTCTACACCCGCAATGCTAGATCTTTTGGAACCTATTTGCGGAATTACGCCCAGGAGCTTGAAAATGCACGCGCGTGCACACACGCGCGAGCGCGCTCTCTCGGGGTGGGGGCACGCCTATTCCCGGTTCCACGCTTCCCTAGCTCCTCAATGAGCTGCCAGGGAGTGTGTGTTCCCAGTGCAGGTTCTGGCCAGCCATGAGGCTTTTGTGACCCCACCGAGGCCTTTCGGCTTTTCCAGAGAAAGAACCTACACAACCCGGCCCAGAGGGACCAGGACCAGGAATTACGGTGGCCAAACGTTTGGCCTGCATCCCACCCACTAGGGATCCTGGCGCTGACAGTTTAGGAAGGGGATGCAGAGAGCACGAGGTTGTGACGGGAGGCGTGGAAGCAGGGCGGGGATGGCACGCCATGGAATGTTCGTAAGCACTATAAATAATAGTCCCCAAATGTAAGATGGAGGCAGCTGGGAATGAGGGTTATGTGTGGTCGCTGGCCTGTGGCTGGAGCAGGCGCTGCTGCTGCTTCTGCGGAGGGAGATGGGCGGTGCATCGATTGGCTTGGCTCATCAGGTGGAATGACAAAGCTGGACATGGACCCCAGGCCCGGCGCCCCAGACCCATTCATGGGGAAGTTCAGCTTAAGACCCGTGAGACCCAATCTCAAAATAAGTATCTCACCGGTAGAACAGTTCACAGTGAAGACAGCTAGACCTTTCTCAAACCCAGACAGGACAAACATAGGCTGGGTGCACACCTGGCCAATATGCTCCTGGCATTGGGTGGCAGCTAGATTTGAGTTCTGTCCACTTGTCTTGAGTTGCCTATCCACAAAATTGGCTTCCTAATACCAGTTCTCTGGCGATCATTTAGGTACATCTAGCAGTTTGAGGCACAGCATGCGTCCTGCAAATTTAAAGTTCTGGGACCTGGTGTTCCCCACTCCCTTTGTTAAAACCCCTTGCCTGGAATAAAGGATGTAGCTTGGGGGATAGAACTCTTGAGTAGCATGTGTAGAGGCCTGGGTTGGATCCCCAGCACTGCAGAAGTGGGGATGGGGGTGGGGTGTAATCCCTACATTCCCTGTCAGCCTAGGATCCTGAGATCTCACCCCAAACAGTTTTCCCAGTGGAGACAGATTAAACTATTGATTCATGTAAGCACGCCTCAGCTGTCTTTACAGTGTTGGCTGACCATCTGGAGAAGGGGATGAGGAAGAGAGGATAACTCCTTGGACACATTAGCACTGTTGCAAAGATTCTGGAGATGGTGATGATCAAGTTGCCAACCACAGGTGTTTTCTTAGCCATCTTGCTCCTCGAATCTGCCAGGTTGAGTGTGCTAAGAGCGCTCACCTCTTGGGTCTTGTCGTTTTTTCTCGGAAAATCTGTTAGAGTATCCAAAGAAATTTGAGTTAAGTGGCATCTCTGCTATCTGAAGATTTGGGTAACAGTAAGAATGTAACTTTACTGTTTACCTCTCAATTTACAAAGTTTTAGATCATTGAAAAACTTGCAAACATTGATGAGGAGCTTGATCTTTCCTGGGTCAGGGCTAGCCAACATACAAATGGCATTGTGCTCATCAGGACATTTAGCTAGCTCAGAAGTGATATAGCAGCCCTGATTCTGCTCAGACATCCAAGCTCCCACTTCTATGTGCTTAGAGACATCCTTGAACCCCTCTCTGGCAGCTTAAATATCTGTGGCCTGTTACCGGACTTAAAGTGGCAGCCTGTTGTCAGTGCCTGGTGGGGCTGCTGGAGAACGTGTCTGGCTTGAGCTCAGCCCTCATATCTGGGAGCCTGTGTTATGGCAATCACGGTAAATGTTGCTGCCATCCATATGATAGATCCTAGCCCCAATTAAAAACCTCCTAACTTCCTCTTCCTCACTTCTGCGGTCCAGATCATCAGAGTTGTGCCAGCATCGTGGGTAAGCCATGTGCGGTGCCCTCCATGACTGTGAAAGCAGCCTAGCCATCTCCACCAGCGTCTCTCTAGAGTATCTAAAATACAGGCTAGAGCTTGGCATGGTGGTGGTAAGCCCAGCATTTAGAAGGCGGGGTAGGGGGATCTCAAGCCAATGCATGACCTATCTCCTGACATTTCTAAGTTCCTATAGCACAAGCACTTCCTGCCTCAGGGCCAGTGAGATCTGAGGATCCTACCCTCAACTGCTGGGGTTAAAAGTTTTTAAGTGGGGACCGGGGATCTGAACTCAGGACCACATGCTTGTACCACAAGTATTTTACCCACTGAGCCAGTCTTTACCCATCTGCTCAGCCTTGAAAGATGACGCCTTATTGGGCCTCATGAAAGTTCTATGAGGTAGATGTTATACCCATTTTATAGATGAGGAAACTGGGACTCTGATAGCCCAGACCTCTGTGCCCTTGCTGAAGATTGGCCCATGGTAGCTCCAGAGACCCAAGGACAAAGTTTCTTTTGATTGCCACCCCTCTGGGCAGCTCATTGTTGTCTCCTCACTTCTCAGGCCACCCGCCCATGTAGCCCCTTTTCAAACTGCCCATCATGCTGGGAGTTGTGACTTTGCAAGTGGCAGGAAGGCCTGTGCCACCCAGGCAGAGGGGTGGGCACTCAGCAACTGGATGGCAGTTCCCTCTTCTGCCAACTCAGAAGGTCCTGGTGGCTATCAAGTCTGAGAAGGGAAATGTGGGCAGCCATTCAAGTACCAGGTGGACAGAATTGTGTGTGAGAGCGCATGCATGTGTGTGTGTGCATGAGCAGATATGCAGGTATGTATCCAATTGGTTGCTCTCCTTCCTTGTCCGTTAACTGAGAAATACCCTACCATCACCTACACTAGAAATTACTGATTGTGGGGAGGGCTATGTTTACCTAATAGTTCCACCTTTTCTGACAACCCAGAAGAAACATATGTGCATCCACATTTTTGTGCAGTTTTTTTATCCACCCTCAAACCCACACAGAAACAATAGTCATATTCTTAAAGAAGCAATACTCACAGAGGGACTCTGGCTATCTCTTCTATGTATGTTTACATAGTTGTAACTTGTGAGCGTGTCTCTGTGGTGTTTTTAAATGGAGCTGCCTTGTGGTTTTGTGATGGTGTGAAGGAGGGAAAACTTCCCTCCACCTGCTCCTTTTGGTTTCCCCACCCACCGAGTGGACTAATCATATGCTAAGCCGTTCTTACTGTGAGCACTGTACGAAGAGTCCTGTGTGCGGTGGCGTTGCCTTATTCCTAGATGTTATTTCAGAGGAGAACAAAGCCATTTGTATATTCAGCTAATCATGAAGAGGGTAAAGTCAGGGTGCTGTGAGTCCAAATAATGGGGAAAAGCAGTTGCTGATTATCTGCTAAGTGGTAGACAGTTTGCAGGCTGACACCTGAGCTCTTCAGACCCCCTCTGCGGATAACCTGCCTGTCACTTACCTGTGACTGAGTCAAGGGTCCCTTAGGCAGCTGGCACAGAGGTAGTTGAGGATATGCATGCAAGAAGGGGTGCTCCCTGCCTTCCGCTGTGCATGTAACCACAAGCGAGTTATTTAGCCTTTTGAACCTCAGTTTCCTCCCTGACATAATGTTCAACACAATGAGCAGGCTGCCTTAGTTATGGCTAACCATGCTCTTCCCAGTGGGTGTGCTAGTACATTGGGTACCACAAGGTGGCTTGTGGTTTTTCTGTTTTATCTGCTCCACAGACAGACATCAGTTTTAGGTTAAGAGACACCAATTAAAAATAGAGCTACAAGTGAGTTCCGGAACAGCTAAGACTGTTATCCTGTCTCAAAGAACCAACAATACCTCCCCTCCCCCCAAAAGAGCAAGAATAGCAGACACTCCTGACTTCAGCTCAGATGGTCCATGGGGAAATTGGTTTTAGGACCTTCTTCAGTTGCCCAAATCTGAGACTGCTCAGAGCTGTTGTGTGAAATGGCATCTTTACACACACCCTACACACATTTCCCTGTATGCTGTCTTAGATAACTGAGGATGCTTACGACACTGGGAATGTAAATTAAATACACATTGTTCTATATTGTTCAGGCTAATGCCAAACATCACATGTTCAGTACAGATGCTGTCTTTCCCTTCAAGTCATTCCCATCCTGGTCAGGTCGCATGCACGGCTCAGAACCTGCGACTGTGGGAGGTTGGTTACACAGCAATGAGAGAGGCACACAGCGCAGGCAACAGGTGCTCAGATAGAGTCCGGGGTGTGCTCCAAGCCCTCTTGACTTCATCAGTTTATAGCAGAAAGTCTATCAGCATGCCCTTCAGGACAAGAAGAACTCAGCAGGGTTGAGTAGTCTTACTGATCTAATGTCACATTTTGATGACCAGATCTTGTCATCTCTATATAGAAAGTAGAACACGCTCCCTTCCTGTTGAAAGTGACGTGCTTGTTTTGTCTTAGCTGGGTGAGCTCAGGCCTGATGTAAGAGAGAGGAGAGTCACAGAGGGCCTGTAATCACAGTGTTCACATCAGGCATTCGCTGTGGGAGAGGCAGGCCACTCAGGCGTGGTCCGTGGAGGCTCCTTCGCTGCAGCTCATGGCTCTGGTTAGTATCAAAACTGCTTGAGTTCTCCATGCAAAGGTTTGAAATGTAGCCCGCCTCAATCAGGTACTCTGGGAAGTGGGCCTGGAAATCTGCATCGTTACAAGCTTCCAGGTGATTGTCACCTGCTCCACTTCACTCTTGGCCTCCTTGGCATCTCCTGCCATCAGGGGCAGCCTGCAGCCCACTGTGCCCATGGGCTCCAAGCAGCCTCTGTACCCACAGGCAGCTAGTATTCTTCAGTCTGACACCCCCACCTAAGCTAGCTGTGACTGCAGCCAGCTTCTCCAGTTCCTGCTGGACACACACACACACACACACACACACACACACACATGCTCTCCAGACTTCTCAGATCACCTTGTCTTGTATTCTAACACTGCTAGATACCTTTAGTTTGGGAGAGAAGTAGTTTAAATAAAATGAAACCCTTTTTATTTTTAAATACAGTAGCTATAAGCTGATTAGCAGTTAATAAATGGTGGGTTTTTTTTAGTTGTCATATCCCCACTTAGACCCCAACTGTGTTAGAAGTCTCCACAGCTATTCATCCTCCAGTGACTAAGAGGGCGGGCGATGAGATGCGCTCACAGGATAGCAAACTGAACTTCCTAGGGGGATACCCCACTTCCGTACAGGAATGATGGTAGGCAGGAGGTGTTACATGGACCCCTCGGAGTACTTACTTCTCTATTGAGGTCTTGTCTCCTACTGCCTAGCCTCTGCGTCTCCTCCAGTCTACCAGACGCCTTCCATTCCCAGGCCTCAGCACTGTCTTCTCAGTTTACACCCTCGAGACAGACCCTTGGTACCTGAGGGCTGCCCTGTGTTCCTGACTGGTTGGCTCTGCAGACCTAGGCCTTCTTCATCCAGACCTCGCCAGTCTGCTTCCCCAGCTTATCTGCATCTTTGACCATTGTGGGAAAAACTTGTGTTCATTTTAAAGCAATGTTCCCCAGCCTCAGTAACAACAGCAACCCTAAATACAGGTTCCACGTACACTAGGTTGATCAGTGATGCCTAGGTAGGATGCCCACCTAAGGTGCCATGAGGGACAACCAAGCTTCCCAGTGACTCCGTGCCAACCTTGCAAATTCTCCTAAGTTCGTTCCGTTCTGAAGAAATTTACCAACACCCCCATTCATGGGGCGATCTGCAGAGGGAACACCTTGTTCCGAGTTCGTGATTCCAGACTATGGTTAATTAATTCCTCAGTGGTAGCTGAAGGCAAAGTAAAGGAATTTGAAGGCCGAGGTTCTGCTTTCTCCTCCCTCCTCTTTTGAAATGAGCCTCATGCAGTGCCTGTGCCTGCTGGAGACGGTGAGCAGGGGTGATGGTGAGCGGGGTGACGGTGAGCAGGGCTGACGGTGAGCAGGGCTGACGGTGAGCAGGGCTGACGGTGAGCAGGGGTGACGGTGAGCAGGGGTGATGGTGAGCAGGGATGATAGTGAGCAGGGGTGATGGTGAGCAGGGGTGACGGTGAGCGGGGGTGATGGTGAGCAGGGGTGACGGTGAGCAGGGGTAATGGTGAGCAGGGATGATGGTGAGCAGGGGTGACGGTGAGCAGGGGTGACGGTGAGCAGGGGTGACGGTGAGCAGGGGTGATGTCTGTCTGCCTCCCTGCTCTCTGGTCATGTGTGAGCAGATGGCAGACAGGGCAGGTGAGACTGGGAGCATGAAGCTTGGGAGAGCGCTATGGATTTGACCTTTTTTCTGATCCCTTGCCGTGCCAACAAATGAAGACCTGGGAGGGGGGATGGATTTCACCCTGTAAGGGAGGCCAACCTTGAATGCATGATTCTGTGAAACTCTAGGGTAACGGACCTGTGTTCTTTGTCTCTCCTGCCCCCGTGGGGCCCCAGCACGTGTGGAGCGAGAGCGAGGACTGCCTGCCCTTCCTGCAGCTCGCACAGGACTACATCTCTTCCTGCGGCAAGAAGACGCTCCATGAAATCTTGGAAAAAGTCTTCAAGTCCTTCCGACCTGTAGGTGCTGCGTGGCTCCTGAAGCCGCCCTGTCCCCTTCTGTAGGGCACCTTGATAGCAGGGATGGTTGGGAAAGAGGCAAACCCGGGATGACTGCTTTTCTCTTGTCCACTGTAGGCCCTGCGGTATAAAGGTAGCGGGCAGTGGGGAGGCCGAGGGTGGGATGTGGCAGGGCTGGTTGGTGCAGGAATGGTGGCTCTCTCTAGCATCACTTGAGATGAGAAGTACTGAGAGGGTGGAAGAAACAGAGCCTTTGCGAGATAGTGGAGTAGTCCATTTCTCACCCCGTAGACCCCAAATGCACCTGGAAGTAGTGCAGGTTTTGCTTGTTTGTTTGTTTTATCATAGCAGTGCCTGCATCAGGAAGATAGCCACAAATCTAGATAAAGCCCATCCAGGTTTGTGTCTGTGGGGAAGGGTAGCATTATTGATTCTTTTTCTCGTCTCAGTTCTCAAAAGCGCTTCATAAAGCTTGCGTCCCCTCTTGGGACTTAGGACTTTATTTCTCTGGTACACTGGTGGCCTGCTTTTGTGAGAGCTGATGGTGTGTGAAGTTTATACTTGCCCCTAGCTTGGTGATCCCTTCCCTCTCTCTCCCAAAGCCATGCCTAGCATCACGCCCCGCCCCGCCCTCGTTTGCTTCCCTGCCCACTGTGGATGTAGTCCATGCATTCAGTGCTGTGCTGTGGAATTGCTGTCTCTACTTCTCCACTAAGCAGCTCAAGCTTGTTTTATGGTCCAAGGAGGTCAGTTGCATAACTGCCTTTCTGACATCTCAGGGTTGGTAAGTGTTTTGCATCTTTCGTGCCTCCTGACTGGCACTTCTGGTATCCCTCAGTTGTGTGTGGCATTGTCTAAATGCCCAAGATGATAGTAGCTTATCCAGAGAGGACTTGTGCTGGTGCTGTCAGGCCTTGAGAGCCCTGTCAGCCTGGGGTGGTCTTCAATACTTGTAGTTCCCAGACATTCTAGGTGATGAAAAGATGGGCTTCAGATCTTGTCTCTCTTAGCTCATCTTTGTTCCAGGGGTGTGGGCCTTTGGAGGGCTCCAGGTTAAAGTGGGGGCCCTGTTGTGTTCTGTTCCCGTAGAGGCCCTAGGCATTGACTCCCTTCTTCATGGTTCTTTTTTTTTAAGATTTTATTTATTTATTATGTATATAACATTATTCCTCCATGTATGCCTGCACGCCAGAAGAGGGAGTCAGATCTCATTACAGATGGTTGTGAGCCACCATGTGGTTGCTGGGAATAGAACTCAGGTCCTCTGGAAGAACAGTCAATGTTCTTAACCACTGAGCCATCTCTCCAGCCCTTCTTCATGGTTCTTAGAACAATATATATATACTTTCTTGCTTCCCAGTCAGGTTAGGCCAACCTCTCTGGCTTCCAAGACCTCCCCATACTTAAGAAGCTATTTCCATACTTAATGTGAAATGGTCCTAGCTGTTCTCAGGAGAAGGATTGTCCTAATCATTCAGCCTGCCATCATGAGAAATGGAATCTCAGTGGCGCTTGTCACATTCTCTTATTTCAGTCACCAATCTGTCCTTCTAGTCTTTTCCTTGATAATTTTCTAAGCCACTTTGGCTTGTCAGGAGTGGTGAATGCCCGCCAACTCATTTGGACCATTCCCTACTCTGGTCTAGCACAGGAACCAGGTGGAAAACATTGTGTTCCCTTGGGGGAAAACAAGATATGCAAGTACACCTGGGTGTGTCCGCAACAGGTGCCAAGATGGCAGGAAATAAACCAGGGATGAGGGGAAGAGGTGTTAGCCTGAGCTGGGTGGTGGTGGTGCATGCCCTTAATCCCAGCACTCAGGAGGCAGAGGCAGGTGGATCTCTGTGAGTTTGAGGCCAGCCTGGTCTATGAAGCGAGTTCCAGGACAGCCAGGGCTGTTACACAGAGAAACCCTGTCTCAAAACAACAACAGCAAGGAGTCTTCAGTGAGGAGAATATTTTGGAGTCTGCAATGATCATAAGGGGTGGGAGTGTCCAGACACAAAGACTAGCAGATCTGAAAGCCTAGGGTACAGGAGGTATCCATGTAGCTACAGGGGTTTGGAGTTGGGAACCTGGGCACAGTGAGAAGGGAGTCGAGGAAGACATTGGGTCTCGTAGCTGTGGAAGGACTTGACTTTACCAGTCCTGCAGAGCCTAAAGACACTAGAGCAAGAAGGCCATGCTGATACCCTCTTTTGAGAGGTTCCCTCTTGCAGACTGAAGTGCTCAGATTGACTAGCAGCAGCAAGACCAGTGCCATCTTCCAGGCAGATGTAAAGACAACTCAAAAAATAGCAAAAGTGGAACAAGAACCTCGGATCCTGGAAATGGCTACAAAGTAGACCCAGCTGGCCTTGCTGTTGGGTTGAAGTAGAGTATGAGAAAATGAGAGAAAGGTGGAACCTGAGTTTCTTGCCATGCACTGGAGGAACGTCACAGTGATAGACTGAGGCTGGGAGGGCGGCAGGAAGAGACGCATGGGCCTGGTGCTGTTAGAATGTCGTTTTGTGGGACTGGAAAGTCAGGGGGGAACCTGTGTCCCTTGTCCCCTGCTTTTCACCTCTATGTGAAGTTGTGAGGTTTTGAGCTTAGAAAGAAGGCCTAGGCAGGATCTGGCTGCTGTTATTCTAGTGGAGAGAAGACCTTATCCAGGTAGGGGGATTGCGAGCCAAGAAGCCAGCACCGCATTCCCTGGATGTCAGTGGCCACATGGCAGCATCCCCAAGGTTGCCTTCACCGGTACCTTCAGATAGCTGCCTTCTGGGTGTGCAGATGCGGGACCTTAAAATGTCACTGTGCCCCCTTCCAGCCACTGCCCTGTGCAGTCTCTCCACAGGGATAAGGGCTTATCTTGCCACAGCCTTCCGATGGATGTCCCGTGGAGCCTCGGGCAGCCCCTGTTTGCGTGACCTTGCTAAAGCTGGGTGCGTGGCACTTACAGCCTACAGAGCGGTATCACCTCAAGGCCAGGCCACCTCTGTGGACTGCACTCCCTTCCTCTCGCCTGCACTTCCTACACGAGAATAATGTCACAAAGCCTCGCTCCACACACACTGACATCTGATTGGATCTCTGAAGAAAAATTACTCTTTTTTCCTTTCAGCCACCCTACTTCTTTTTTTTTTTTCTCCTCCTCATTTATTGTATTTCCCACAAAACGCACTAAGCATCCATAGTCAAAGCCCAATAAAGGACAGCAAAGCATACTTGGCTTTTGCCATCTGGGCACTGGTTAGAAGCAGCAGTAGCCACAGAACAGAGGGAAGCCTTTAGGCAGAGCCTGTATTAGATCAGGCATCCTGTGAGATGCTGTGCAGAATGAGCAGGGGCACCCACCCCGTCATCTCATTCCACTCTGGGCTCTTGGGGGAAGTATTTCTGAGAGGTTGTTTGTGAACATGTACTTCAAGCTGCCTGTGTAGGCTCCGTGGGTTCAGACCCCAGTTCTGGCCCTTGCTGGCGGAGTGCCTTAGACAGTTTGACCTCTGTTTCTCGGGTTCTCCATTTGTAGGTGAGGAATGAAGGCAGTTACCTTAGGGTTTCTAAGCTGCTAAATCTTCTCAGCAACAGCCCAGTTTGGCTGGGGGTGACCTCTCTGCACAGTAGTCACCAAACAGATGCTTCTACTGCTGTGTACGGCTGTGTACCATGCAAAATACAGGTGCAAAGAGTTGGTCCGGCCTGGTGAAGCATTATGTAGTGAATCTAGGGTTTTGGTAGTGAAAAAATATCTTGCTAAGTGATTTCAACATTTTTAACTGAAATATATGGCTGGATAAGGAACCTTTCAAAGGTAATGGAAGGGTCAAGAAAAAGATTATCAACCCTGGTTTTTGCACAGTAATAAACCCACCGTACATGGCAGGTGATGTCTATAAAGAAGATAAATAAATGTCTACTCGGAGGCACATACTGAAGAGCTTCCGGGTGGTGGGTGATTTTTATTTTTTTCTTTTCCCTATTCTCTAAGAGTCCTATCATATTCACATAATCATAAAACATATATTTTTAGAAATCTGTATAATTTACATGTGTCAAAAATGCTAGAAATTAGGGAAGGACTCCTTGAGACTCAGAGTGCTAGGCAGTGCCCTCCTGCAGAGACCCGCTGGACACACTGAGCACAGGCGGAGAGCTGACCCAAGCAGGGTCCATCTTGGCTGCCTGACTTAGAATCCTTAGAGAATCCCAGGGAGGAGAGACTGCTCTGCCCCTTTCTATGTGACATCTTGCAGTTTTCTTAACCTTTGTGTTCCCATCTTTAAAATAGGGCGAGCTTCTGTTTCACTGCCCCGTGGATCCATGGGCAATGTCTAAAGCTAACCGTCAACACAGGACTGTCAAAGTCCAGCTGCCCTGGGCCACATGGACTGGGTGTAACAGTCCATCTTTCTCACCTAGAGTGACCCCCATTTCTCTCCACTGGAAGGGCCTCTGGCCTCATGAAGGAGGATCTGAAGCCCAACTCTTCCCCCCTCACTGGCGGCACACAAATGTAGATGGTATCGCCACTCACTGTCGCCACCCGAGAGTAGCACTGCTCTGGTAATGACTTCAGAGACCATTGATAAATGTGGACAGTCATTTTCCTCACTTAAGTACTCCCGGGTGACTATTCCTGGCCTTCGCATGAGAGATCTAGATAATGGGCCAGTGATAGCGATCCTCATTAATGGCAACCTTGCCAGTTATTTCTGCCTCTTTTCATCCCTTATTTGATGGCAAATGTCAGATGTTATTGCTGGTAAGCAAGCAGAGCAGGAGAGGAGAGAGGGTCTCCTAATGCCAGATTCTGCCCCCCCCCTTCCCGATTTACATGAACATGAAGGATTGCTACTCTCTCAGCGAGTTGCCTGCCCCGCGAGCCCCCCCTCCCCCATAGAGATCTGGTCCTATCACTGTACCTATGGCAGTGTTGAATGCTGTTTGGGCTAATGTTGCAGTAATGGCCCAGTCTGGCCTTTGTTCCTGAGGCTCCCGTGGCTTCTTTCTCCCAGTCTTCTTGCGGAGGAGGCTGCTACATTGTTTCTTTTCTCAAGAGGGGGCTCTTACCAGAAGAATACTCCCCTGAGTCTGGACACTGACCTGAGGGAAACCAGTGTTTTTAGGTTGCATCCAGTGGCCCAGGAGCCAGTGATGACTCCACACAAGAATATCCCTCATGGCTCAGAACAGTGCCATCTTGCTTCAGCTCCTCCTACATGGCCAGTAGCCTTGAAGAAACAGAAGAATCCCCGGGTGCTGGGCTTGCCAAAGTGGGACAGGAAGTCCAAGGAAAACTTTGCCCATGTGGATTTTGAAATTTAGCTTTTCCGTATCTTTTGTTTTCTGCTCCTGTTATGGACATTCAAACCTTGTCATATTTTAGCCAGGCAGTGGTGGCGTACACCTTTAGTCCCAGGGTTCAAAATGCAGAAGCAGACAGATCTCCGAGCTTGAGTTTTGGCACGGACGAGGTCCTCCTCTAGCGGCGCATCTGCTACTCTTGCCCATTTGACTCTCGTCTCGCGTCGGCCTCTCATCCTGATATGGAGAAGACTGAAACCCAACACGAGTTTTAGGATAAACAGTTTCTGAACCCCCCAATGCTTTAGCCAGTCTTGCTGCCCATAGTGGCACTTCTGGACCCCCTTAGAGCAAGTTAGAAATGCAGAGATCCCTCGGGCTCACTGAGCCAGGGTCTGCATTGTAGGTAGTGTTCTTGGTGACTCAGAGACACAGTTAAGTGTGAGAAATGCTACCTCTCCCTTGGAAGAAGTGTGCCGGGATGCTCGAAGCCCCAAGGACATGCTATACACACCAAAGCCCTAGCTGATCCAGGATGCTCTAGAGGCCATGTATGCCTTCTCTCCCAGCGTAAACTCACCAGCCCTAAGTGCCTGATGTGTGCCCTTCCGGGGTGCTACCTGCTGGTCACAGCCTCAAGTGATTTGCACCTTTGTCCCCAGGACCTGAAATTAGTCCCACAGGTGACAAGGGCCTAGAGAACTTTAATTCTTGAGTGACACAAACTCTTCCTTTCCAGTAGAGGCTTGCGTGGTCCAATGGGCCTAGCAGTCTGTGTGATTGTGGACTGTTCAAGGGAGTTTTGTGGTCAGCAAGGCCTGGAAGTGCTGGTGTGTTCCTGTACACAATGGGCAGAAACTTGAGTCCCAGGCTGCTGAAAAAAAATAGTCACAAAACTAGGATTGCACAGTGGTAGCTACCGTGAATTATTTGGCCATTCCAGGCCTATCAGCGGGATTTTGCTGTTTCCATTTTCTCGTAAGAACCAGTGGGCACAGTCACAATAAGGGCTCCAGCTCTTTGCCAGGCTGTTTGTCACCCTACCTCTGATTTAGATCCCCCACCACCCTTGGCATGTGACAGTAGTGCTGGATTGTTCCATTCTGCATGGGGCTTCTGGACCTCCTGGTAGTTTGCCACCCTGCCTGTGCTTCTGATTTGTCATAATGTAAATGAGTTGCATGCATTTCCTACTAGGGATACATTTTGGAAACATTCATTGCCCAGTCGAAAACACAGAAACTTCCAAGTGTCAGGCACAGCATTGATAGGCATCTCTACAGTAGCCAGCCTGGTAGGTCTGGTGGGAAGATTGCAGGCCTGTCACCAGAGAGAATCCTGGCTCTGTCATCTCCTGGGTGATTCTGTATAGTCTCGCAGCATCTCCTGGTCTTGAGAACCACGTGGGGATGCTTGAGATAGCACTGGGCACACACAGTTTTCATTCAGTCTGAAGCATGGTGAGCCAGGAGTGCTAAGAGCAAGTTCTAGGATGGAACGCAGAGGTTAGCGGGGAGTTCTCCTTTCTTCCTGCTTCCTAGCCTGCTCATTCACAGCAAGGACCTCCCTAACTCAGCACTGCAGGGAAGAAATAGGAGGAGGCTGGAATGGGCCTACTTGGGCAGTGGGAACTCCCTAGATAGCCCAACGAAATGCATACCTGCAAGGCTGGACAGTGGACACACTGTGGACATTAGCTCTTTCCTCTGAGCTGCAGCCAGTGTCCTAGTTATCGCTGTACAGAGAAGAGTGTGTGCCAAAGGTCAAAGGCTCCAGACTGCAGGTCAAGAACCATCTTCCCTCCTCTCGGGGTGTTTTTTAGAATCTGTACCAAGGACCCTTAGATGTCCAGAACCACTATGAATGGCATCTTCTCTTCCCCACTCTGAAACCTCAGGGGCTATTCAGATTCACAGAGCGGAGGATGCTTCCTGCCCTCTGGGAAGGGCTTCCCTTGAAGCTGGCTCTCTGAGGCTAGAACTGTGTGCTTTGAAGTCAGGGAGCTGAGCAGGGGGAAAGGTGTGGTTTGTGCCAGTCAGCCTGCTAGATCCTTTTCAGCAAGGCGTGCTGAGTCTAGGAGGGGATTGAGAGCCTCTTATGGCATGGCTTGAATTGGGGTGAGTAACCCAAGCGCCCTGTGGGAAGGATCATTATGGATACATGCATGTACAAGCATGCCTCGGCTGTACCATTCTCACCCATGAATGTCATGGCTAACTACAGTTTCCCACTGAGCCTCAGAATCCTCCCAAACCCAGCACTCCAAGTGGCCAGTTGCACCTCAGATTCATCTAATGGGATGGATGCTTTGACTTTTATAATTAGTGGTCCCTTGCTCTTCAGTGATCCTGTGTCTCCTCTTCTGCTGTTGAGATGATGCGGAAGCTGCTGCATCAGCCCTGCTGTGACAGATATTGCAGCGTTTCTGTCACTTGACACTTCCACTCTGCTGTGTCATCAGCAGCTCTTTAACTAAAAGCTGACCGCCAGCACAGCAACCATCCGCTTTCACCATGACTAGCCAGCTGTCTTCTCTCGCAGGAGGCAGTTTTAGCCTCTCTCTCATTAGAGTGTGAGAAGGAGACAATGCTGACACAAAGAAGCTTCTCTAGTCTTCCAAGGACACATGAGATCCTGGGGGCCCGGGCTGGACAACCTCTCCCTGCCCTTTCCTCCAAGGGACACCAGCAGTCATGAGCTGGACAGGGACAACACACATCTGCAGTTGGCCGTGGTCATGTAGCCTTGTGACCAGCAATGCTTCACAGATGATTTTACCCTTTCCTAAGACTCTGAGGCTGTGAGACTTTTAGAACTTAAGAGTGTAGACCTTGTCTCAGTCGGGGCTTCTGGCTTCCTGTTCCCCCATTTGAGCCACAGGGAGAGTGAAGGAAGGGTGGCAGAAGGGTTGAGGAGCCGTGTGAGGAATAAGCAGGCCTACCTTTAATGTCTCGATGCAGCTAAAGTTTAGGTCATTGGGGCCCCTTGGTTAAGAGGCCTGAAGGTAACAAGTCTGGGGTCTCCGTGTGAAAAGTCTTTTGGTCACTCTGCTCAGTCATTACGTGCAAAAAACCCAGGAACCCCCAAGTCCATGGCTTTCTGCCAGCACACAAGTCTCAGTTCATATTGCTCATGACCAACTCAGTTTCTAATGAAACTACTGCTATCCCGGGGCCAGAGAGATGGCTCGACAGTTAAGTGCTTTCTTTCCAGAGGACCTGAGTTCGATTCCCAGCACTCACACCAGGCAGCTCACAACTGCCTAGAATGCTAGCTCCCTAGAATCTGACACCAGCACTCGCTTGCCCGTAACCCAAACACGTACCTGCATACATAATTAAAAGTATTTCTCTGGAATTTACCTTATTTCCCATATCATAATCCATAAAGGATTTGTGGAACATAGATGAAAAGGAAGCTGGGGAAATGGCTTAGAGCATCTGTTGCTCTTTCAGGGGACCCAGGTTTGATTCCCAGAACTCACCCGAAGGCTCACAACCATCCTTAACCCCAGTTTCAGGGGGTCTGATGCTTTATTCTGAGCTCCGTGGGTACTGTGCATGCACATAACGCACACACAAATAGTCATATACATAAATACATGTCAAAGGATTTTTAAAGATGAAATGGAAAAAAGTTGTCCACAATCCCAATCTTACAGAAACTCTTATCCCCCCATGCGTGCATGAGTGCACACACACACACACACACACATATACACACTCACACACACACACTCACACACACTAAATGTTTACAGAAATAGAACGCACCAGCGAGATGGCTTGGTGGGTTGCAGTGTTTGCGGCCAAGGCTGGGGACCTGAATTCTCTATCTAGGCTTCACACGGTGGAAGGAAAGAACCAACTCTTGCAAATTGTCTTAGGATCATATACATACTGATATAAGTGCATATAAACACACAAAATAAATAAATGTAATTTAAAGAAAACTCAATTTTGAATATATTTAATTACAGCTTTTCCCCTGTGCATCCATATGAGTTTTAAGAAAATGTGTATCATAGTTAAAATGTAATTTTATCATGTTTTTAATTTTATGTGCCTTTTATCATTAATTTTAAAATTCAGTGTTAAGTATATGTAAGATTCTATCTTACTAACACGCCATAAAATTTAACCCTTTGCTGTTGAACATCCTAGCTGTCTTAGCATTTTTATCTCTGTGCTTCTCTTAATAAATATCCCCATGTATTTGGGGGAGAAAATAAACCAGAGGATTGATTTGGGGACATTTCGAAGGGACATTAGCACCGGTCACAGTGTGATTCACTAACATGCCGGCTATACCTCATATAGGTGTAGTTTGTGGATCTCTGTGCTTTGACATTTAAAAAGGAGCCTCTCTGAGGTACCCAGTGAAATTGATAATCCATGAAGCTTCGATGTGTCTTCTATTAAATTTGTAGAAGCTGTGGTAATGGTGGGGAGTTGAGTTCAGGGGGATACTTGCTGTGTACAGATGAATTTGGGTCCGGTGTCTTTGGTCTTCTGCCTGAAGTCCTGGCAATCCTTACAGCTGTTGCTTCTCTTGTCCAATTGTAATTCTGTAGCTGCTGGGGCTTCCAGATGAAGACGACGCCTTTGAAGATTACAGTGCGGACGTGGAGGAGGAGCCAGAGGCCGACCACCCCCAGATGGGGGTCAGTCAGCAATAAACTCCTAGGTCGCCTTCCGGAAGGGGAGTAAGCCCTGTGCTGCCCATGAGGTCCTGTGCTCCCCGGTGGGGTCCTGTACTCCTGGGGTAGCTTTTTGTATTAGCTCTTCAAAACAGGACATCTGGCTCCTGACATCCAAATGAAAATGAAATACCTTTCAAATGACCAAACCATTTCTGTGATGAGCTTCGCTCAGAAGTGATCAGAATTTCTGCCCCGCTTTGCCGGGGTTTCTGTGGAGATGTCTTGGTAGCCTTTGCCACTTTGAAGTTAGAATCCGTGTTGTGGCTGCCTGTTCCCTCTTGAGTTTATGTTGGAGAATTAACATTTGCTGATTGGAATGTAGAGAACGCTGAATGTATTAAGGATGTGTTTTGAGTCCTCACAGGAGACCTTGCTGAGGAAAAGCATGACAGAGGAGAAATGCAGCCTGCACTTTTTATGTCCCTTTGACGTGTCCGTAAGTGAAAGGTCTTGCTTAGGAAGCATGAGTTTTACTCTCTAGTCGTGAACTGCGCAAGCGCAGATGCCGAGGGTGAGGGCGGCTGAGCTCCTTGGAGAGTTTCTCCACTGTTAGATTGGTTACCTGAGCATGTAGCGGCCAGCCGCTGGTCAGTGTAAATGTTCCGCGGCTGTTCGATCGTTTTAAAACGTGCTAAGTCCAAAGCCACTTTTAAATTCTCATAGTGGAAAGTATAGATGGGGTGAAAGATATACATTATTGATTCCTTAAAACTGATTCTAAGCCTGCATATGAAATGAAACCTTCACCTTCTCTCTTATGATGAGACGGCAACTTGTTAAATCATGGAAACAACCAGAATCCGAGTAAGTGACCCTTAAGCTTTGAAGCCATAGATGAAATCTAATAGGAAAATAAACCAGGAAAAAAAAATTAGATGTAATGAAATCCTTTACTTTCCTAATCTTTTATTCTTTAGAGAATGTCAAGGAAAGGCTCCCCGTGAGTTATTTTATTTACAATGATAATGAAATACTCTAGGGAGCCTCCATGCAGTGAAATTGTAAAGTGATGTGAACGTGGGAGTCATAATTAGGGAATTACTTAGTTAAAAGAGGATGTTTTTGATGATCAGGACACACAGACAGCTCTCAAAAGTAACTGCTGTCATCCTTTTACCAATAAGTACCAGGACATTCTCTAATGCCATCGGGAGACCCTCCCGTGTCTCATAACTTAGGATGCAAGAATTCCCCTTCACAGCACTTGACTCCTCCGTGCATCCAGTGTGGGAATGTCGTGCGTGCGTGCACACGCACACACGGACACACACATGCAATCTGATTATGTTATCAGAATTTTAAACGCAAACCAAACCCACCACCACAGAAGCTTGTGTACATGGTATGGCAGCCGTGTCCAGGCATTTTGTTTTTTTTTTTTTTTTTTTTTTTTTTTTTTTGGTTTTTTCGAGACAGGGTTTCTCTGTGGCTTTGGTTCCTGTCCTGGAACTAGCTCTTGTAGACCAGGCTGGCCTCGAACTCACAGAGATCCACCTGCCTCTGCCTCCCGAGTGCTGGGATTAAAGGCGTGCGCCACCACCGCCCGGCCAGGCATTTTGTTTAACCTCCATGAAGGGTTTAACCTCCATGAAGGGTCTCATTCCTTGGTGCACTGTGGAGTTTAGTTGCTGGGTGATGGCACATTGTGGATTCTATCTGTGCTTTTCTACCTGTGTTTTTATTTTCCCTTGAAGTCGCCCATTGGCACAGTTAGACTTAGTACCCCACCCCTTCCAGGGTGTGAGGTCCAGTCCTGTCCATGCTCCCCCTGCCATTTCTGCTCATCGTCGGGAGACTTGAGCTCTCTGTCTTGGGGATACGGTCCAGGGCAGGTGACTTCCTTGTAAACATAATAGGCCACACAAATAAATGACTTTTGGAGGTAAAATGAAGACACCTGAGCAGTTTGCTCCATCATGAGGTAACCTGGAATTTTATACAGAGGCTTCAAATCTAAATTAACATATCTTCGAACGTTAATATAAGATGGGTTTTTATCAAAAACGTATTTGAACTTTGACCAAATATACTTGGTATCAATCATATTAGTGTTCTCTATTTGTACAAGTTGAGTTAAGACCCCTAGTGGTGCAGCGGGCTACTGACAACTGTCCTCAGTCTTTTGTGTACTTCCCCGCCCCCAGGGGGGCGGGGTCAGGAAGAGCAAAGGTCCCTGGATGTGGCTGATTTCCACGACAAAACCCCTAGGCGTCCGCAAATCTACTGTCCTTGCAAACCTCCCTCTGTCTGCTGTTGTGTGTATCCCTTCCTCTGTGCACCTGTGTGTGCAAGCACACACATAGCCACCCCTCCCCATTCTGTCAACGTTCATATCCCAGTGGGGGCCCAAGGCAAGCAGCCTGTGGTTGGTTAGTTATGGAAACGGGCCTGCTTCACGGTGAGAAAAGTGTGACCCTTCCCAAGACCACAGAGGCATTCCAGGACTACGGAGACCTCAGCCCTTGGCTGCAAACAGTGATAAGTCATGTAACTTTCCTACGAAACAAGGGTATTTGCTCTGCTAGCTTTAAACACCATCCTGCTGCGGCTGCCGTAGGAAGTATGTGAGCGAAAAGAGCTGTGAGGGACATGGGAAGAAAATAATTTGGAATTTTGCCCAAAATGGTGTCCTTAAGATGTTGACCATGCCACTACCTTAGAATATGGTGGCAGTGGATGTCCAGATCCTGGAGCCTGGAATCTGCCCCCTCCCAAAGGCTCTGGAGTTGGTTGGCAGTTAACCCAAGAGGGGAGCTTAGCTTGAAGAATAGCTGTAAACTGATGTGTGCTTGTCTTGTCGCCCTGAAAAGTTACAGCGGAAAAACTTGGTAGGTAGTGGACGGAGACAGAGTGAGAATAAACACACAAGGGAAGGACTGATCGCCTGCTGACCGCGATGACCGGCTGTGAAGTCTGAATTCTGCCCTGCCAACACTACAGAGCCTGATCCTAGCGCTGAGTGACCCAGGGAGACACGTTCCTCCTATCTGCCTGGTGATAGCATTGTGCAGGCTTCAAGGATCCAAGTCTAGAGCCAGGGAGGGTAGTGAAGCCCCATGCGGTGCCTGGCACCACTCGGGTTCAGTCCCATGGAGTTTGTGACGCCCGGGTCTACTGCAGCACATGGTGTATTTTGTGTTCCCATGACCAGAGCACAAAACGTCTGTTATATGATGAGACTGTCCTTGCACGCTGCCGCCAGAGCTGGTTTTGCAGTGTGCTTAAGGAAAACTGAAGCACAACGGGGGTGACCCCATTGCTCAGGACAGACAGACAGACAGACCTGTTCTCTAGCACAATGCATGGCTCTGAATATTGTTTCAGTTTCTCAGAGCAGGGAGAATGTGTCTGGGGTGTTATCATCCCAGAGTGGAGTGTTTTAATTATTGCATGTTAAAATTCACCAGTTGAGAAACAGTTTAATCAAATTGGGTTTTCTACAGTGAGAGGAATGTTGAGATGGACAAGATTTAATGTGGGTTGGAGGAGATGAACAGGGACCACGAGAGAGAAAGGTCTCAGTCCATCTGGGTTGTAAACAAAGCACATTGCCCACACTTACTTCCTGGGGTACAGGACCAAGCGGCCTTTTCTTAGCTGTCTCTATAGAGCTGCTTTCCTCAGAGACTGGAAGTTTAGAGGATGCTGGTAATGGCTCTGTGACTTTCACAGTGCCCCCCCTGCCAAGCCAAAGGCACGGTAGGTGCCCTGTACACCTGGTGGAATTCCTTCCCCTAAAAATAAAATCCACAGCTAGCTAGGGAAGCATGCTTTCGCGAGTGCTGGCTCCAGAGTGGCTGCAATGGCAGCTGGCAGAACGTGAGCCATGCCTGCTCTCTCCTCTGCTGGTGCTTCTGTTGTCAGTGAAACTCAAATGAAGGCTCTTGTCCCTAGAGTAAGCCTTGAGGGGGAGATGTCATACCTGGCTTGTTGCATCGTCTCCAAAAGTGCACAAGAAGATTTTCGCATTAGAAATCCCTCTTTCGTACAAACTCAGTTACTTGGTTTAACAGTAGCTAGTATGACTTGAGAAGCTGAGGTCTTTTAGGTTTCCTATGGAGTAGGTGTTAAACTTGCAGGAATGCTGGCAGCCTGTGGCCTGTGGCAATGGTCATGAGCATTTCATGTTAGGAACCCCATTTACCACACTGCCATGCTGAATAATCCCGAGCAGCTTAAAGACCGCACCAAGCCACAGTAGTCCGCTTAGGGCTGTGTTCAAGTTGTTCGGTATTAGGGAGAAAGCTGGCAGTGTGGTCCTCATATCTCCCTGGGCCTTCCTTTCGTTTTTGTTTCTTGAGATTTGATTTTAGCAGGTACCTTCTGAACTGGCCTAGACAGATGCTCTATATACAAATGCCAGCTTTCTAAAAGGCACTAAAATAAACAGTCAGTGCTGGGCAAAGTCCAAACCCAGCTACAATCCAGTGCTAATTTGTGTACAAGCAAGATTTCAGCCACCTCCAGAGAAGCAAATCCGAAGAAACAAAAGCAAGGGACTTTGTTTTTTTGGTTTTCCGGGCTGGGAGATTTTCTGTGTGGTGTGTGTGTGTGTGCTTTCTTCGAGTTCATATTTCCTTTCAGAGAGCTCTCTTGTAAATGACAAACTGTGAAATGGGTTGCCAAAAACTTGTCCTTTCTTAGATGCTTCAGACAGAACTGTGTAAATTCTCTCTGCACCCTGTCCCATCTGCTCCCTCCTCCTTCTCCTGAGAGCAAGGACCACATCCAAGGATGTAATTACCATAAGCTTGCTATTAAAGAGCCTTTTAGCCCTGATGGTATTTGCCTTTTTCTTTCCTCTTTCCACTGTTTAAGGTTACAGAATACTCTATGTGATATATAAATGAAGAGCAAGGACCATGGACACGGGCGGGGTGGGGTGGGGACAGTTACATCAAAGGCGTGGATCCGGAGGTGTATCTAACTGTGGCTCCAGCTAGTGTTTAGCAATTTATCATCTCCCTTTGAACTAGTACTAGTTTCATGTGTCAGAATTTCTTTTTGCCAACCTAGTTAGGAATCCTTTGAAGCACAATTAGGAATCTGTGTCCTGTGACAGATTAATAAGGACATGATGACATTTCCTCAACGCCTTTGTTCCCAGTTGCTGTCATTCACTAGATCCAGACATTCAGTAGGAGCTCAAAAGTTGGTGGCAAGCTTCACTCTTTGGTTAAAGATAAGTTCCCCCCCCCTCCAAATGGGGGGTTCTCTAGACTTGAGAGTGGCTTAGCAGGCCGGACTTGAGGCAGTGTGTGTTTATGTAACGGCATGAGGAGTCCTTGGGTTTGGCCAGAGATTTCAAGTCCAGAGTAAGGCTGTGTGTGAACATTCTAAACCTCTCTAGGCTAAACCTGATTCCAGAAGGGCTGTATAGACAGATTTTTATCATGGGAAAATTCCTGTTTCTCTGACTTGATCACACAGGCAGCTTGGCCCCTTTACATGCAGAGACAGATACAGCATGACTCACGTCTCCTCTCATTACAGTCCATCTCTGAAATCATTTGGCAGACAGACGGGTCCGGCCCAGACAGGTCCCTGACAGTCTTTGTCACTCCCCCTCACACACACACACCATCCCCTTGTTTTCGCATGGGTGAGAGTAAGCACGGTGACCTCATCTCTGATTTCCCTTGGGGGAGGAGCAGGGGCAGAACACCTGGCCCTGCTGTAGAGGAAGGAGTGCCACAAAGTCCCATAAAGCCACAGTGGTGACCTGTGTTGTGATGCTTTTCTCTGATTTATCCCCTCTTCCTAGGATCCCCTTTGCCAAGCACAGACCCACAGCTGTGAGTTAGCCCAAATGCCACTGCTGGAAGATGGCACATCCCGCCTTGCCACGCTTGCCATCTCCTTTGGTAGATCACAGGATTCAAACTACAACAAAGAGGGAAGGGCGGGGCTCCTCACTTAGGGATGTAATAAACAGTCTTGTTTCCATAGTAAAGTTGGGCAGGTGGGGTGGGTACCACAATATCCCCAGGGCTTGCTGAACACACATGGGTGGATTCATAGCACAGGGGGGGGGGGAAAAACCTTACACCCCAGCATTTGGAGGCACCAGGGCTAGGTGTCTAGCTCAGTGTCCTGATGAATTGGGCAACCAAATATTCTTCCATTTGTCGGGCTTAGCCATCTGGGAGTTTGGAAGCAAGGTTGAAATGCCTCCCAAACCAGCTGCCCTTGGCGGGGGGAAAGTCCTGGGCAAGCTGCCATTAGGCAGCCAAAGAACAAAAGTGTGGAAGAAGCGGCAGCCCTTCCTTTTCCAGGGAAAGAGCCCCCAAAGTGGATGTCAGCCCAGCCAGACTCCAGGTGAAGTGGATCCTCAGGGATGCCTTTTAATTGGGAGCCT